TTGTGCAAGGCCCTGGCAAAATGCTTCATTTTTTTATATATCTTTTAATTTCTGTTATAATATGCCACAAACGTTTCTTTTTTTTTAAAAAAATATTTATTTGTCAACTCATTCGAAGTCATGGCATGAGTGACTACTTTCAGAAGACCGTCATGTATGTTTCATCTGTTACAGTATTTTGGAGAGGAACAATAATAAAAGTATAAGGAAAATGGACTATCAGAGTCTACATTTTAGATATAAACAAATGTAATTTCGGAAAACAGTGCATAATCATGCAGCATTAAACATATAAGTAGTAGTAATTTATAATATTTTGTTCCGAAAGATTTGACTACACAAGATTATAGTTATAGAACAGTAAGATAGGATTCATTACTATTTAGGACTCACCGTATAGTTGATTATTTAGACTACCAACATTCGGGCCTTAATTTGCGTATAGGCAGACAGTGCTAACAAGTAGCATTAGGCAGTCTCCAGAGACATTTTAATACCAGTCGTCTTCAGTTGATTTGCATCTGGAACTTGAGACTGAACTCTTAGCATGCTGAAATACTCATAATACCATGTTATCAGTGATATGTGAAAAAATTTTTTTTTTAATATTTGAATGAAGAAATAATTAAAATTTAAGGCTGATTGAGAATAGGTGACTGGGGTTGTGAAAACAATCATAGTGAAAGTAGAGTCAAACATAGAGATCACAGATTTCGGGAGCTAACAGTGAGGGTCAGTGGAGTGCCGTATTAGATCTCTGATTTTTAGTCTGTCACATACGCCTTCTAACCCGGTGTTGATAAAATATTTGTTCAGCAGAGATGAGAAGGTTTTTGGGGTAGGACTGTTTCTAATTTCAGTTGGAAGACGGTTCCAAATGCAGCGGTATCTGACAGTGAAAGAATTTGATCTGTACTTTGTATGACAGCGGGGCACTTCAAAAGATGAAGATTTATTTCTAAGGTTATATTTCTTAGGTGAACTAAAAGTAAATTCATTGTGGGGGAAATATATAAGCCCTTTAGCGATCCTAAATGTAATTTTTAGGTTAAACTTCAGTCGTCTGACCCATAAGGGTTCCAAGTCAAATATGTTACATCTGTCGTAGTAGGAAATGCAAAGATTTTCACCTACTAGACGTTTGGTAAACGCCCTTTGTAGGCTTTCCAATTTGCACCTGTCTTTTACGGAAACACTGTCCATGACAGGAGGACAAAATTCAAGTAAGGGCCTTATGCATAACTTGTACAGCATAATTTTGGATTCACACGCTTTAAAGTTTCGGAATAAAAACCCAAAAAGCCTTTTAACCTTTGATACTTGTAATTTAACGTATTCCGTTAGGCTAAATTCTGGAGTGTATTTTAGACCCAAGTCTGTTGTAAGCGGCAGACGAGGAATATGATTGTTGTGTAGGGAGATGGAAAGTTCGGATGAAATGCCTTTGGAGCATAGCACACCACATTTTTCAACGTTAAACTTCATTTTCCACGTGTTACACCACAATTGAACCCTATCAATATCATCCTGAATCCTATCAAATACACATGACACTTCATTTCTGAGTGAGTGGTATACTATTTTGATGTCATCAGCAAATAGGAAAGGTCTGCCATGTCTAATAACGTCGCAAATATCATTGAAATATAATAGGAATAACAGTGGACCTAGAACACTACCTTGTATGACTCCACTTGTTATCCGAACGGGGTTGGATGTGTGGGAACCTAACCTGACAATTTGCATCCGATTGCTTAGGAATGAACTGAGCCAGCTTAACAAAGAACCTTGGATCCCATAAGACTGGACTTTTGATATTAACAGTCGGTGGCTTACTGTGTCAAAAGCTTTACTAAGATCTAAGTATACAATAACTGTGATCATACTGGAATCTTTCAGTTGTGAGATGTGATCAAAAAATTGTAAATGGCATGTAGTGCAAGAACGTGACTTCATGAAACCATGTTGATAAGGAGTGATAAGTTTCTCTTGAGAGAGGAAGTCAAAAATGGCAAAAATCTCGTTCTTTGGTTTGACATACAGTTTCCCAAGAGTACTAAGAGCGCCGTCAAATGTTTTACATTCAGCAATGTATTCATATACAGTAGGTGAGGTATAGTTGATGAGAACATCAAGTTTGTCTGAATCTGGAGTTGAAGATTTAGTGATAAAAGTATTGAATGTACGAAACCAATGATTCCAAATCTTCGAAGATTTTTGGCAATTGGAATCAGCATCAAAGCGTTCAGGACGTAATATCTTGTCCATAATAAAACGAATAAATTGTAGAGTTTATGAGTTAATCAAACATTCACCGATCAAGTGAGAATATTGAGGGCCCGCAATAAAGGCTTTATTCGTTTTATAATTCCAGTATAGAATCTGGTTTAAACAAAAATGAAAGATGTCAATAGTGTATAATATAAATGCTAAACGTTTATGAAAATGTTCACACCACAGTGCTGGACCGACTTTGTGGGCTCGCTATCTGGTACATTTTACACTATAGCGTTTTGTTTCGAAGCCAGCCTTTAAACAACTTCGCTGGATAGAAAGTCAATGGCGTTTTCCAACTCCTTCGCATTTTCTGAGTCAGTAGGCGTCATTCTAGAGGTCATAATAAAAAGCTTCAGGATTGTAGGATACTGCAGTTCCTTTTTCATAAGTGAGATAGTTTCAAGGGTATACATTCTAATGAACTTAACTTCGTTTTTAATTCATCTATCTGCAGCTGCATCTCTTTAACTATGCATGTTAAGTAAGAGAGCTCTACCTTTTCAGACATAACATCTTCCACCAGTATTACAGGGGGCAGAGTTACGTTCGAGTCGTTTATGTTGGGTGAACTACCAATAATAAGGGGTGGTAATGTATTATTAGACGAGCTGGTGCTATTTTCTAAATTACTGGTGTTCACACGAACACGAATTTCGGCCCATCGTCATTAAAGATCAATTAACAGTAAGCAATAAATGAATATAAACGTAAACACGTGCAAAAGCGCCACCTGATTCGAACGCACCGGGCGACATCATGCTGGGATATGAATGTTCCAATGCACGTGGTCTACCTAGACTATGAGAAGCCATTTGACACAGTTCACCATGACCCTCACCCACACAAAATAAGTCGATTCTGCCGTGGCTGAAAGAATACGCAGCTGAAAGGAAATTTCGCACTAAGGTCAATTGAGTCCGATCATCTTGGCACAGCTCATCATCAGAAGTGTCGCAGGGTTCTATCCTAGGGCCACTGATATTTTGATTTTATCAATGACCTACCATGCCGCCTAGGCTGCCCGACTCTTCTATACACTAACGACGTAGAGATATGGAGAGCAGTAATGTGTTCGAAAGACTCAGATAGGCCGCAGGCACATCTACAGCTTCTGGAGGATTGGGCGGTGACTAGTTGCATGACATTCAATCTGAAAAAGAGCAAAGTGGTGAAATTACTCACCTGTAGGCTGCAGAATGCAAGTTACACTCTGTGCAACGAAAGCTTGTCCTAAACAACGTCGGAGAGTGACTTAGGTCTAGTTCTAGCGTAAAAAATGGACTCAGGTGTGAATTACACGGTGGATGTAGCGCCGGCATTTGCGGTCATACACTTTACACATGGACAGTTAGGTGCACTCACTCCTGAGCTCTTTCTAAGGTTGTACAAAACATCGTCAGACCACACTTTGAGATGCATAATGTCGCTGCACTCCCCACTGCTTAGAAGAGACGCAAACCTCTTGGAAATAATCCGAAGATGGGCGACAAAGGGGGTGGTTGGTCTCCAATATAAGCCGCATGATGAAAGGCTAGAGAAACTAGGTCTCTTCACACTTAGCTATCGTAGGCTTAGGGAGAACTTGATTACTGCGTACAAGATAAATATGACCAGAATCAGCCAAACAAAGGTGTTCTGCTGTTGAGTACGTACATGCTTCCTCGTGGAAATCCCAGTAGGATAGCTCACCAGAGGGCAAGTACCCCGGTGAGCTCCCACTTCTTTTCACTGCTGGTTTGCCATTCCTAGAGCTCTTTACAGGCGAATGTAGCCACGGACCGTCTGTGGACAGCATTAAGCGAAGGCTGGACAATCATGCAGCGGCAAATGGACTGAGTTCAAATTGCTTACCCCCTTAAAATCTCACACACAATTCATGGGTAGACAACTAAATTCATCGTTTTCTTCTTTAAATTTCTACTCTCTTGACCGCTCCAAGTACTACACTTACTGCAATTACAATTAGTATTCATATCATGTATATATATCAATTTCGAGTTTCATTTGCTGTCTTTAGTTTGAATAACCTTCACAAATTATATCTGTTATTATTGTTAATATCTCTTTCCTTTTGACGACGATACCGGAGGACTAACTGGTGAAACGACTTAGTCTTTAGAGGCTGACGGTATTGACTTTCGCGAATTGTACGGAGAATACTAACGCAAGATCTAATACCAACAACTTCTATAGTTTTCGTTCCTCGTGGACCAAAGGCATAGCAAAAGACACTGTTTGGTCGTCCAAACCATGAGGTATATTTCGGAGCCAAATCGTAGACCTAGATGAATGCTTAGTTGGCTAGTGGTCGTGCACGAACGTGAAACGACGGAGTACAAATGGCATGGATGCTTGACCGTAAGCCTTCAGCTAAAAATGTCGACTTAAGCAGTGAGGGTCAGCATCCAATGTTCAGTGATGATTGCTGTGGTCAATAACTTTGGGGAATTATTTGCCGCTACAAGTCCATTCACAGTAGCAACAAAGTCTTAACACACAGCATACTACAAACAACACAATTAATCCCAGCACTACTCCTTTTGTAGTCAGCCAAAGCTACGAAAGTCGAGTGGTGGGACGAAATACGTAGAAGTTTACCGAAGACCAGGAACATTTACCACACAACTGAGGAGCGAGCACAAAGAAATCTAATTGGTTTATACAGGCTCGTAAAGACGATATTGGATATTGAATGTCCGATAACACCTTTGTTCAAATAAGAAATGGGTTTATGCGACGCTACAGGTACATTGAAATGCACAGGAAAACAAATGTCAGAAAGATACACAAGAGGCAAAACGCTAGGTTCTGGTACCTATGGTAAAGTTTACCTAGCCACTGACAGAATGTCTGGAGAGCGTTATGCAATCAAAAAAGTGATGATGTTTGGGTACGCGAAATAAACTTATTATGTGCATTCACTTATTCAAAGTTCTGGAAAATCCATACATGCTTCAACAATAAGGGAGGTCGGGATTATGTTGGAGCTCAATAACCTTAACTGTGATAATATTGTCAGGTATATAAGCAATTGCAGAAAATATAATCCTTTATAGAATACATGAAATTTTGCATAGCAAAAGTCAAATTTATATTGTTTATGAACTTGCAGACTGGGATCTAAAAGATTTTATCCAAAGGTTTGCAGATGTTACCCTGGAAAATAATTTACCCTGTCAACGCTTACCAAGTGAGATTGCTAAGGTAGCCTACATTTTTACACATTTCTATAACTTTTTCAAAATACAGTCATTTGCTACTCAGATACTTGACGGATTGATCGTTTGTCACAAGCACCGTGTAATTCACAGAGATTTAAAACCCTCAAATATTTTGATAACAATACATGGTATTGTAAAAATAGCTGATTTCGGGCTTTCTCGAACAACTTCAATACCTCACCGCACATTGTCTCAAGAAGTAATTACACTGTGGTATCGGGCTCCCGAAATACTTCTTGGAATAGAGAAGTATAGTCATTCAATTGATATTTGGAGCTTCGGATGCATATTATATGAAATGGTTTGACACTTTAACTACATTTTAACTGTCTAAACAGGTTCAAGGGAAGGTGTTATTTCCTGGTGATTCTGAAATAGAACAGTTGTACCTTATATTTAGAAAACTAGGTAGGGTTTATTAATTTCATTATTAGCTGTAGGAACTCCAACATCCCGAACTTGGAAGAATGTTGAAGACTTACCAAATTTTAACAAAGAATTTCCAAAGTTCAGTCCCCTCGGATTTGAAGAAGAAAACTTTAATGTCAATTGGAAAAATATAGTCCAGGTAAATAAAAATGTTTTCAAACTTATGTTACTGAAAGAAGTATTTGATTGTTTTTGATTATGATGTTCTTTTTCTATTGAGAATATCCGAGGTAGATGAAGTCACATATAAAAGTATCTATGAAAGACATTATTTGAGCACTAGACAGGTGAATGAAATGAAAGTAGATTGTGACAGACATAGTGAACAGTTTCTTGTTGACCAAGTGTAAGTAAAGTATAATATACAATAATATCAAGTCTTTGTAGTAACAGTATAGTTTTCTGTTCCCTGTATTCATCTAATAGTGTCCTTGCAGAGTGTTAGATAAGTTCTAAGCCATTTATATTAACTAGTGTTTATCCACTTAACTTCCGTTGTACGACTACGATTATCATTCGTTTTTCGAAACATCTTCTGTGATGATTAGAAGTTTCCTTTTAGTCTGTTTAATTTCCTACTGAAGAGATAAATTTTATCCGCCTTTAAAATATTATCCTCGTCACATTTACAAAAGTTGAGTTAAAGCTTTTAACTTCTTAGTTCCAATACATTCTTACTTCGGAAAATTTGAAAGAGTTTATTAACACTGAAAACTTATAGGTAATTAATATTACTACCAGTCATTCGGTATGCACGTGACGCATCAGTATATCTTGGTTTAGGGTGAACAATTTCAAAACGAAAATTTGCGTGAGCATGTTGGCCTGGTTTCATCAGTCCGTTCATACCTTGATGAGAAATGGTTCAGTTATAACCCTATTACGTTGAATTTTCCAGGAAATCAGGGCAGATACTCTAAGATAAATCTTTCCACAGTGCTTTTAGGCATGACTGATGAAAAAAGTTCTTTGGATCGACAGGAATATTGTAAGTGCGCTTTAGCTGGTCACTGACTAAAGTTAATTGAGAGTATAGTAACTTGTTAATTAATAACTTCGATTAAACTTATCAAAGATAAAAGGGAATACAGCTTGTAGAATAAGACCAAAAGCCCGGTCTTAAATGAAAAACCAAAATGTGAATCAGACTTTTAGTTATATCATAAGTTTGAATTTCAAAAAACAACTGCTAGCAACGTAAAGGTTCTTCTACATCGGCTCTTCCATAGCCAGATATTAAGACGGCCACTGGAATCATAACTGTTTTTTGTTTGAACAAAAAAGAAGAATATATTGGGAAGTGTAACTGTATGAAGCTACTAAGCATCGTTTATTTTGACGTAGAACTCTGTACAAAAGTGCAGCAGTCCAATCTGCCACACTACAGAACATCGTACAAACGTGAATAAAGTAATCTCAAGGAAACTG